TACCTGACTGTCACCACTGACACTAACAACAGTGTGGTGCATCTCTTCAAGCTGATCAGTAACCGTGCCGCCAGTGGTCTGTACCGGGCCATAACAGAGACCCACGCCTTCTACAGGTGAGCAGGAAGGAACACAAACAACACAAAGTGATGTTTTGAAGCCAACACTCACGCTCTAACATTTAAAAATGTCTTATCACAGGTGTGACACAGTCACCAATGCCGTGATGATGCAGTACAGTAGAGACTTTAAAGGCCACCTGGCGTCGCTCTTTCTCAACGAAAACATCAACCTGGGAAAGAAATACGTCTTCGACATTCGCCGCACTGCAAAGGAAGTGTACGACCACGCCCGGCGGGCACTATACAACTCGGGCGTTGTTGACCTGTTGTCTCGCTCCGGCAGCGGGGAACGTTCGCCTTCATCACGCTCCCCAAGCAGGTACCAAAACCAGGACGAGGGGCCGGACTGCGGCAGTTGTCACCAGAGCCGACTCTTGCAGGAGCGACTGCAGAAGCTCAAAGAAGCTCTGCTGTGCATGCTGTGCTGTGAGGAGGAGATTGACGCTGCATTCTGCCCCTGTGGCCATATGGTGTGCTGCCAGAACTGTGCCAATCAGCTTCAGGTGAGTTCTAACAAGACGATTGATCTACTGTTGTTTATTACAGGTTAGGTTAAAAAAGTTAGGTATTACTAATTATTTTTAAATGCACCCCGAGTTCTTACCTACACTCTGCTGAGCAGATTGACCCCAACCTAATTGGCTAAATGTTGTCCATCTAAGCCGTGTGTCCATGTAGAGATTAGAGCAGCAGCACAAATCGCTCGCCCGTTAGCTTAACTATTGTGACCCAGCTGAGAGAAAAGTGCTGGAAAGTGTCAAAACAGTCTCAATAGGTATTTCAGATAAGAGGGCAGAATTTTCCACCAAAAAAAAAACTGACCCTGCTTTATTCTGTCCTCATCCTGCAGCTTTGTCCCGTGTGTCGCTCAGATGTGGAGCACGTCCAGCATGTCTACCTTCCCACCTGCACCAGTCTGCTCAGCCTGACACTGACCGACAACCACCAGCACCACAGCAGCATCCCAACATCCATCCACAGAGGCACAGCTTCGCCCCACTCCTGCCCCACCACAGAGTATGAAGCCAAGATCTACCACACATGAACAGTGGACACCACCAAAGTTTTCAAGCTCCATCTACTTCTCAAACAAAGGAACATTCTTGTCACACTCTGAGCATAATCAAAGATGACCTCACTAGTGTCACTCCCTCAGTCCCGTGTGTGTGTGTGAGTACACATTGTTTTTTTCTTTTGATTTGCCACTTCGTACTGTGAGATTGTTTGTTTGTCCTCCTGCCATGAGAGTTTTAGGGTGGGCTATGGTCGTCCTCATTTATGAAATCAGTTGATCTGATACAGAAAACATTTTAATATTTTGCCTTTTAGGGTTTGAATTTTGGTTTTTATCAGACTCCTGGCCCTGGAACTGTTTAACAAAAGTCTATTTTACAAATAGCTAAGTTCATTACTTCCTGTATTTATTTAATTTTTTTGCATTTTAATGTTTCCAGAATTGTTTAGTTTTTTTTATATATATATATATATTTTTTTTTTTTTTTACTTGAGTACATTGTGTGTGATGTTCTATGTTATGCCAATGAGGATACAGCACTGATCTGGTGATAGCACTGCACTCCAACTAGACCTGAGTTCCTTTAGGTTCCGTTATAGCCAGATAAAACTGTATCTTACCAACACTCCTTCACTTTAAAACGGGTTTCGATGATGAACTGCCACTTTGTCCAACACGCGCCCAATCTCACAGAGAGGTGGAACCTTCACATCCCCATGCCTGCAGAAGGCCAGACAGAGAGTCATAAAAATTTAAGATCTAATTTGAAATCAGTCCAAAAGCAGCTGCTCTCTGTGTCTGTCTTTCTCTTGGCCTAATAGTGATTTATTTTTGCTGTTCCTTCTAAGGGTACTAGATGATCTGCCTGTGCAATACTTGCTTGCTTTTGTTGACACCTTTTATTTAATTTCCAAGTCTATATTTAAGAAAAAAATTCTTCGTTGTCACTTTACCAAGAAAGTTTTCTGTTTGTAGGAGATTTGGCCTTAATGTAGCAGCAACACTGTTTATCATAAATAGTATGTGGACGTCTTTTTCTGTCATTGAAAAAGGAGATTTTTCCGATGCTGATCCATTAAAGCTCAGTCACTGCAGGGAAACATTCTTCATGATGTACAAGCAGCAATTTGTTTCTGTTTTCTGAAGCAAACGCCACTATGTTCTGTAATATAACTCTTAGAATGAAATCTTTTATATATATATATTCTGCTTTTAACAAGAAAGAAGGTATTAATAAAGTTGTTTTTAAAAAAAACAAACTAATGTGTTTGTGTAAGATTGGTTCCTCCTTTGAAAAGTATCAATGAACAGTAATTGTAAATATGATTTCTTCAACATTACAAACCAATGGTTTCAGAAACAGCACACGTGCAGGGGAACTCCCTGCCTGTGTTTGGTTCTGTCTGGACTGCCATCCAGGAGACATGTCCAACCTTAGGCTGTACGACCTCAAGTTGAAGCAGTAAGATGTAATATACTGCATTATGTGGTACTACAGTTATTCAAATTCAATTTACAGATTAGCATAACAATGCTACAAATAACCTTTTTATACATTGACACAAGTCCTAGCATTTTCATTTGTGTACTTGTCTGTTCAACTTAATGTTAGATTTTGATTAATATGCAGACAAGAGGGCAGTTTTATATACAGTTTGTTTGTGAGACAGAATGATGTGTGGCAGCGTGTGGCTGAGAAACCACAATCAGAAAAATCTCTATAAAAAATAATAAATTTCTGGTTCCCTGTTAACCAAGACGTAGGTCACTTTAGCATCCCAAGGCCCAGGGCTTTGTTCCACAGGAACCACAGTGATTTAATAATAGATAACTGACTACAGACACTTGCATAATAAAAAACAATATGAAAGTCCATAAAAGTGAGAGCAACATCATGAGACTTGTTTTGAAAATATCTTTAACACAGCGGGTGTTAAAACCACAACTCCAGTTTAGGTACAGGGTCAATAGAAAATAATTCTGTAGGGCTGACATGAGGGTGAGTACCTTGGATGTAGCATTGAAAGGTCAGTGCATCGTCTGTCACCGTTGAAATGGAAAGGAAAGCTGAAGGCTGCACAGCCTGTGGTCCAAGCGCCCTCACCCCCTTGATGAGAAATGACAAGCTCTGCTGGACTGTGATTAGAAAGTCTGGAAATAGAAGCGTGAACAGCAGTTAGTCATTAGTGGGACTTGATCCCTCTCTGAGCCTGGCTGTCTTTGCACGACCTTCTGGGTGACGGCTCTGCCCCGTCTTATCTTTGCCACCATCTCCATCTTATTTGTCCCTCACTCTCAGGCAGCGTTGCCATCAAACACTAAACTCCCAATGTCAGCATTGACAGTGTTTATACATGTAAAAGACACGTACAAAAGACGTGTGTTAGTGTCCCATGCAGAACTCGGCAGGTTACAACACAGGAAATATTACTCTCTCTTTATATATATATATATATATATATATACACACACACACACACACACACACACACATACAGGGAGTGCAGAATTATTAGGCAAATGAGTATTTTGACCACATCATCCTCTTTATGCACGTTGTCTTACTCCAAGCTGTATAGGCTCGAAAGCCCACTACCAATTAAGCATATCAGGTGATGTGCATCTCTGTAATGAGAAGGGGTGTGGTCTAATGACATCAACACCATATATCATAATTATTAGGCAACTTCCTTTCCTTTGGCAAAATGGGTCAGAAGAGGGACTTGACAGGCTCAGGAAAGTCAAAAATAGTGAGATATCTTGCAGAGGGATGCAGCACTCTTAAAATTGCCAAGCTTCTGAAGCGTAACCATCGAACAATCAAGTGTTTCATTCAAATTAGTCAACAAGGTCACAAGAAGCGTGTGGAAAAACCAAAGCACAAAATAATTGCCTATGAACTGAGAAAAGTCAAGAGAGCAGCTGCCAAGATGCCACTTGCCACCAGTTTTGCCATATTTCAGAGCTGCAACATCACTGGAGTGCCCAAAAGCACAAGGTGTGCAATACTCAGAGACATGGCCAAGGTAAGAAAGGCTGAAAAACGACCACCACTGAACAAGACACACAAGCTGAAACGTCAAGACTGGGCCAAGAAATATCTCAAGACTGATTTTTCTAAGGTTTTATGGACTGAT